CCTCGCTCAGCCAGTGAGCGGGAACCGGTCCGCATGTGGGATCCGAACCCTCGGGCGGGAGCGCCGCCGCGCCTCCCAAGCAGTGCACTTATCTAGTGCGCCACCGGGCCGGCCCCAATCTACTTTTTTTCTTCATCACCACCAGTATTCCCTAATATAAGCTATTGTTCTTAACCATACCAGTCCAATAACTACATAACTAGTTACATATACTCTTCTTTTTTTTTTCTGGCAGCTGGCCAGTACAGGGATCCAAACCCTTGACCTTAGTGTTATCAACTTCACACTCTAAACAACTGAGCTAACTGGCCAGGCCTACATTTACTCTTGATCTACTCAAACCCAATCTCTATGCTGTAGCCCTGGTGTTTAACACCTTTAAATGGCTATTCACTGTTCTTAGAAAAAATGAGAACTCCTTAATAGGCCCTCCCAGGCCTGGTCCCTAGTGACATCTCCAGCTTTATCTCAGATCATGCTTTCTTTTGCTATCTGTATTCTAGATAGATTGGCCTTATTTTCAAACCCTTGTAGTTGGTGTATTCTCTTCCACAGAAGGGCTTCTGCATGTGTTATTCATATTGAATAGTCTGCTCTCCCCTCCCGTTTTACTTTGTTAACTCCTACTCATTCTTCAGATCTTAGCTTAAATTTCACTTCTTCAGAGGGAAAGCTCCCCTATCCTAGATCGGATTTCTGTTATAGGACCTCATAGTACCATGTAATCTCTCTTCCATAGCATTTATCATAAAATTACTTTGTTTAATGCCTATATTTTCTTCTTCCTTATAGATTAGAAGCTCCATAAGGGCACAAATAATGTTTGTTTTTTTGTTTAATGCCTATATTTTCTTCTTCCTTATAGATTAGAAGCTCCATAAGGGCACAAATAGTGTTTGTTTTTTATTTTTTTTATTTTTATTTTTTTTGTCCTTTTTCGTGTCCGGCAACGGACTGCAACCCTCAGTGTCGCGCCCGTACCGGACCGGGACCGGCAACGGGATCGCAACCCTCGGTGTCGCACCCGCACCTCGCTCAGCCAGTGAGTGGGAACCAGTCTGTATGTGGGATCCGAACCCTCGGCGGAAGCGCCGCCGCACTCCCAAGCGGCGCACTGTAGCAGTGCGCCACCGGGCCGGCCCAGTGTTTGTTTTTTTATCACAACAGTATTCTCAGCACAGAGCACTTGTACATAGCACATAGTAGGTACTCAATAAATTTGCTCAATGCATAATGAAGGAAGAAGAAAGAAATAGGGAGCTGTTCAGTGGTACCTAGAGAGGAAAATGCGGTTGTTGGTATTTTAAAGATGGGGAGATAGATGAACATATTCAGTGGAAGTGATGAAGCTGAATATACACAAGAAAAGGGGAAGTCAGTGATTTAAGATTCCTGAGAAGAGGGGGTAAAAGTCAGCTGAGATGGAAACATTGGCATTGGGGAAAAGAAAGAAAGGACGAAAGAAAGATACAGATATACAGAAGTTTAGTTTCTTTGGTAGTAGGAAGTTTAGAAATTCCAGCCTAATGGGTTCTATTTTTTTCTGTGAAGTAGAAAGTAAGGTAATAAACAAAGGGGTGGGGAAGTCTAAGCCTGTGGAATTCACATACTCATTGTCAATTTAATGCAGAAAACACAGAGTAGGTACTTATTCTGTGCAAATGATAGTGTTAAGGACTTTTAAGGATATGGAGAAAAATAAGAGCTAATCTTCACCTCCATAGAGCTTATAATTAGGAAGATAAACTGTACAAAGTAACTATAATACAAGAAGATGTGATGGGTACTATAAGAAGTACCAACAAAATAGCCACAGGAGCTCAAGGGATATAGAGACTAACTCCTTTGGTGGAAAACAGAAGAATCGCCGGCCCGGTGGCGCACTGGATAGTGCGCCGCTTGGGAAGTGCGGCGGCGCTCCCGCCCGAGGGTTCGGATCCCACATACAGACCAGTTCCCGCTCACTGGCTGAGCGAGGCGCGGGAGCAATGCCGAGGGTTGCGATCCCGTTGCCAGTCCCCGGTCCGGTACGGGGGCAACACTGAGGGTTGCGATCCGTTGCCGGACACGGAAAAAGACAAAAAAAGACAAAAAAAAAAAAAAAAGAAAAAAGAAAACAGAAGAATGCATTAGCAAAGATGAAGTGGAAGAACTGCACAAAAATGGCAAGATTTGTTTGGAATTCAGGCTGTGTAAGTATGTGACAGCAAATCATGCAACAATGGAAGATGTGAATATGATTGTAGAGAATGTTAAATGTCAAGCTCAGGAGTTTGGACTTTATTTTGTAATAAATGAAAAGTCAAGTTTTTCAGGGAAATAACACAATAAAAACTGTCCTTCATAATTATTAATTTGGCAGCAATATGCAGGTTGCATGGGAAGCAGATAGAATGAGGGTAAGAATGTAAAAAGATTAGTTAGAAGAGTTCAAGTAGTACATTACAGGATTAATAATCGCCATAATGGGAAAGGCAAAAAAATACAAGACATGCTTAAGAAGTAGATATGACAGAACTTGTTAAGAGAGTGTCAAAGACAATGAAAATTTTGAGCCTTTTATAATATGTAAGAATTGTGATGCCATTAATTGAGATGAGAATTAAGATCATAGAGAGAATGATCATAGAGTTTTTGGATTTTATTTTGGAGATGGGAGAAGATAACTTTCTTTCTATTCACAACAGAGTTTAAGGTTCTTAAGGATATTTTTGCAAGAGGTTCAGTAAGAAGCTAGAAATTTAAGTCTGAAACTCAAGAGAAAAAGACTACAGATGCCCTCACCCAAAATGATTATAAGCTACTTAAGGGCAAAACCTGTGTCTGGTGCTAAGCATAGTATCTGGTTAGAGATAGAAAGGCTAACAGAGGAGCTAAAAGGAACAGCCAGGGGAAAAGAACATGGTCAGGGTTGTACAATATGATAGAGATTAAGGGATATAAAAGTTTCAGGAAGAAAAGATCAAAAAAAAAAAAAAAAAAAAGAAAGTAAATAAAAGAAGAATCAGCAATGTCAAATATTGAAAGAGGTCAAGATGGCTAAGGACTGAGAGGAGCCAAATTTGATAATTACATGGAATTTTGTGATCTTTGAGAAAGCAGTTTCATGACAACAATACTAACCAGTTAGAATTATCAGAGGCAAAACTGAAAGGATAGACAATTTTCAAATGGAGATAATTCATCTATTAAAAAACACAGGATTATGGTCTAGGTTATGAAGATCTTTCCAAAGAGATTCATATCTTGATCATCTTTTGTTGATTGTGTTATGGATGACTACAGTAAAGCAGTTTTAATTTGCTCTAATTTAATGCTTTAAGCTGTTAATACTCATGCACAGTCTTCAGCATAATTATACCTGGAGGAAAACTAAGGAGAACATGAACTAAAGATGGAGTCACTGTTGCTATACAGGACTAAGATTGTTTCAGCAAGAATGCAAAAGACTGTGTCGGCAAGAACTAGCAAGGCTTTACCGCAAACCACAGACATCCTATGGGGTTGCCTAGGAAATGGGGAGGTAGGGAGGGGTTAAGAGCTGGCTAAAACATATATAAAGCAAGCTTGCAGAGAATAAAGTTACTTGTGAGTCCCACACCAAGTCCCAGAACTTGTGTTTGGTTTCCTGATTGCCCACCTCCCCAGGTGGCAGCCTCCAATCTCAGGTGTGTCCTGAGCAACTCACCTTTGCGGAACTCTCTTAGCAGGGCTGTGTGTCCGACACTAGTTCCGTAGGGCTAAGAGAGCGTACAGATACCAACAATCTCTACAGTAGGAATGAATTTAGATAAAATTTAATTTTCTTTTGGAAAAGTATTTAAAATACTTTACCTATTTCCAACTCAGTGAGACAGTCATTAATCTTCTTAAGTATGTTGTCCATCTCATCTATCCTTATCTGAAGTTTCTCTCTCTCATTCTAAACACAAAATGTTACAGACTGTCAAGTTAAACCTCCAAACAAAAAGTTATAAATGGTTTGAATAACTGACATAACTGCTCTCTCTATTATGAACAGGCAGATCTTAAAATAAAGGTCAAAGCTTCAAGTCTGAACTTAGAAATAAATTAAAATAAAATATATTTTAGGGCCAGCCCGTGGCTCACTCGGGAGAGTGTGGTGCTGATAACACCAAGGCCACGGGTTCGGATCCTATATAGGGATGGCCAGTTTGCTCACTGGCTGAGCGTGGTGCTGACAACACCAAGCCAAGGGTTAAGATCCCCTTACCGGTCATCTTTAAAAAAAAAAAAAGTAAATAAGTAAATAAATAAAATTAAATTAAATATATTTTATTAAAATGCTTTATAAATTTATTTAATAAAATAATATATTTTATTAAGTAAGAAAACAAATTAATATAAACTCATTTTTTTTTTTTTTCCCTTTTTGTCTTTTTTCGTGACCGGCAACGGATCGCAACCCTCAGTGTCGCGCCCATACCGGACCAGGACCGGCCACGGGATCGCAACCCTCGGTGTTGCTCCCGCCCCTCGCTCAGCCAGTGAGCAGCCGGTCTGTATGTGGGATCCGAACCCTCGGCGGGAGCGCCACCGTGCTTCCCAAGCGGCGCACTATAGCAGTGCGCCACCGGGCCGGCCCTAAACTCATTTTTGTACTTTCCTTTATTCTAACATTTCTATATGTGTTCCATGAAATGGAGGGGATTAATATTTATTACTTAAAAAAAAGAGTTCTTAAAAAATATTCTGTGGTCAAATACACATGGAAAATACTGGTCAAACAGAATATAGCATTTTTTAATTTTAGACTTTTTATTTTTGGCAGCTGGCCAGTACAAGGATCCAAACCATGGACCTTGATGTTATTAGCACCACTCTCTAATCAACTAAGTTAACCAGTCAGCCCTATTTTTAGATTAAAGAAAAAAAAGATTTGTATTTCTCCAAAAAGGGAAATTGCATGAACATTTCCCATACTTATTTGCCAATGGAAAATCTTCTATGCAGGACCTTTTAAAAGTATAACTATTTTGGGGAATGCTACTTTAAACACCTACACACAAATATACAGTGGTATGGACTATGAGGAAAATAACACTACGATGTAGTCCTTAGCAATGAGAGACCAGAATCCTATATATTTTATTTCAATATGTATAATGGATACCAATATTTGAGATGAGACACAGGCCGATATTAGTAACTATATTCCAGTATTACTCAAGATGCCAAATTTGCCGGTTTTGACAAATAGAACCTCACCTCTTATGAACAATTATAAATTTTTTTTTTTTTTTTTGTCTTTTTCGTGACCGGTAAGGGGATCGCAACCCTTGGTGTGGTGTCGCCCCCACCGTGCTCAGCCAGTGAGCGCACCGGCCATTCCTATATAGGATCTGAACCCGCGGCGCCCTTTCCCGGCGCCGCACTCTCCTGAGTGCGCCCGGGGGCCAGCCCTAACAATTATAAATTTTTTTTTTTTTTTTGTCTTTTTCGGGACCGGTAAGGGGATCGCAACCCTTGGCGTGGGGTCGCCCACACCGTGCTCAGCCAGTGAGCGCACCGGCCATTCCTATATAGGATCTGAACCCGCGGCGCACTTTCCCGGCGCCGCACTCTCCTGAGTGCGCCAGGGGGCCAGCCCTAACAATTATAAATTTTTGCCCAAGTCTCACTCACATGTCTCCTAAGGAACATTCTTCATATTTCCACGACCACTATAAAGTAATTTTAACATCCCTTTGTATGCTGTTAAATGTCTCAAATTACCTGAGCTGACTGTACCAGCTTGCTGTACAGAGCCACTTTTCCTTGGTGAGTGAAGACTTTAGTCATCTTGGTAAACCGCGATTTTATTTTGTTAAGGTAAATTCCAAAGGCCTTCAGCTGTAAGGGAGAGTTTAGTACATTGCACTAAAATAAACGAATCAAAGAAAAGTAAATAGTCTTAGAAGGCTGGTTCAGCTGTTACATGCTAGGCTTTGCCCATCCTAGATTCTGATTCCTAAGGCAGGACACTTCTCATTTGCAAATTTAATTCCATGTAATTATTTAAGAATAGAACCAAAGATTTCAGTTTTGATTCTTGTCTTTAATTCACTTATTCATATTATGAATTAGAAAACGATAGGCTCTTAGTTAATAAAACCCTTTTAATATATTAGGGCACATATAAAATGGATTGCTTATTATTTAATCAATTAAAGAAAATCTTCATCTAAATCTAAGTGAAAGGCAAACAGGAAGGAGGGAACTCTAAATAAACTTCAAAAATATTTCATATATTAAATTGAGCATCTTAGGTTTGAAAAGATTACATATTAATAATTACTTGTGTATATAATTAAATAAGACCTTGGTAGCATATTACACCTGAGAAATAAATTAAAGAACTCATTGCCAATTATCAAAAACTGTTATTTGTTTCACAATAAACATTGTTCAAAATGTCCGTACTGATTCCCATTCAGAAAATGAGACAGAAGTACCTCTTCATCAGAGCAGTGTCTCATTTTTTCCCACAGGTTCCTATTTATATCAGTCAACAGTTTATCTTGGTTCAGCGCAGAAAGCTTTAATCTAAAATACACAAAAGTTAATTAACACAGGGGTTCAGAAGACAGCTTGAATGAACCAGCTCAGATCAGGCACACTTAATTTAATTCTTCCTACTTTTTTCCTACATAAAAAGAAGGACATTCAAGAAAAGTGGCCAGCCTGATTATTCAACACTTGAAGAACACCAGTTCAAGAATGTCATAAATCAAAAAAACTTCTCTCACAAAAAGAATTCTCATCTCAACATATCAACTTGTTCCAACATGAAAATATGTTGCTTATTAAGAATCCTTAAGACCTATCAATGCATAAGTGCTTTGAAATTGTAGCTATTATTTTAAGTAAAAGTTCCCAATTCAGTTCAAAGTCATATCTCACCTTAATAGGATAGTATTTATAAAATTAGTAAAGCTATTATAATCTCAATATACTTAGTCTCTTGATAATAAGTAGAAGAAATAAATTTCTATCAGAATTAGAAGATGTTATCTGTATGTACATAGGTGCAAAATCAAACAGAGCACACCTAAACATACTGCTCATTGAGTGCAAGATCCCAATTCATTGAAAATAAAGTATTCTCAGACAAATCCTGAGACACCCAACCCTTTTAAATAGCACAAAGATAAGAAACTTGTTTTTATATACTTGTTCAGTGATATACCTCAGTACTTAGTACAGTGCCTGGCATATAGTAGATGCTCAATATTTGCTGAATGAACAAATCGAGATCAGGAAAATCTGAAGTACTATAATTAAACAGTATCTTAAATTTCTACTTTTAAAACTACATAATTCTTAAAGATTATTTTCTTTCTTTTCTGTTTGTTAGATTGGTTCAAATTTAGTTGGATATTCCTAAATAAGTATGACATAAACATTATTTTGAGTTGTAAATTCTGATTTACCTGAGGGAATCTGGATATATCTAATCTACAAATCATTAATCTAATCTGTAAATCTGCACCAAAGTGCTGGGCTATCTTCTGAATAAATTATATTCTTTTATATATGTAAATCAATGGCAAATGTGATAAAATTATAAATCCAAAGGCAATCTTCACTTCAGGCACTATATATAAATCTTTAAAGGGTATTATCTTCTTTTGAAGATGTTCTCTTGAAATCAATTTGTGCTATCATAATCTAATAATTACTGCTTATTTTTATTGAGGACCTAATTTTTGCTAAGAATGGTATGAAAATATTTTATATACACTATTTCTACAGTTCATTTCTATCTGCACAGTAGGTATTATCCTCACTTTATGAATGTGGAAATGAAGGTTGAATATCTTACCCAAGGTTACACAGCTAGTGTTGAGTTTCAATCTGTCTACAAAAATAAAACTCTTCTCTCATATCACACTGCCAACAAATGCCATCAACTTTTGCCAATGCCAGTGTTATTTTAATCAAAACCTTACCACACAGGCTATTCACTGATTAAAAAAAAAAAACAGAAAAAAACTAAAGCTTTCATACTCTTCTATCTTTTGGCGACGAGCCTCACAATCTTCTCTATAAATCTGTATCTTGGGTCGGTAAACATATTGACTTAACATCAGGTCTTCTGGAGTAGGTGGTGTATTTATAGTAAACTGAAAAAAAATAAATAAATTAGCCCCTCAGAACTGGTATCTTGAGAACAAAACCATATATAAGAACTAATTCAAATTTCAGAGTGCCTATTTTTAAAAATTCTACAAAGAAAAATTTGAATACTTTATTAAGACCATACAGCTAGTAAACTACAAGTTGGAATTTGAAATCAAGTCTCTGACTTCAAAGTCTATTTCCCTACATATATTTAGGGTAACTATGGTTGTTTCCACTCACATGGGATTGAAAGCAGTTTGAAAATGCCTACTATTTAAGAAAATCAGTACCTAAAAATTGAAACTTACCAGGAACTCTTTATTTTAAAAAAAAAGGCCAGTTTCCTAGATAATCCTTTTCTATTCCCATCCTAGCAATGATCCTTACTGTTATTATTAATTTTTTAACAGACTTACAACTGTTTGCCCTATGATCCTTACTTCTATCCCAGGCTGAACTCAAACTGGCCCATTCTCCATTTGTAAAATAAGGCAGTAAAAATTTGGTTATTTAAAAATGTTTTATAGCTCTAATCCAATGACTTTTCAATGTCCTTAATATAGTACTGAAAAAAATCAAGTCAGCTTCCAATGTCACATCACTCATAAAAACCAAACAAATCCCACAACGGTCCATTATTCAAATGCAGTGTGACAAAGAATAAGTCATTTTGCTACTCTGAGCTTTGGACTCCTCATCTGTAAAATGAGAATACTGAGCAGCCTCTTAAGATTACAGTAAAAAAATTTTTTAAAAGGTACACAGGGGCCGACCCCGTGGCACACTCGGGAGAGTGCTGCGCTAGGAGCCCAGCGACGCTCCCGCCGTGGGTTCAGATCCTATATAGGACTGGCTGGTGTGCTCACTGGTTGAGCGCAGTGCGGATGACACCACACCAAGGGTTGCGATCCCCTTACCAGTCACGAAAAAGACAAAAAAGAAAAAAGGTACACAGGGGTTGGCTGGTTAGCTCCATTGGTCACAGCACAGTGTGGTTACACCAAGGTTGAGGGTTCGGATTTCCACACAGGCCAGTTGCCAAAAAACCCCCAAAATAAAAAAGATACCCCACCCAGGGCCTGCTAAAGTAATCTAACAAATGTTAATTTCCTTTCATTTTCCCCTTTTAGTTGATAAATTAAAAGGAAGTAAGTGAATGAGGCTTTAATCTCCTATTTCTATTCCTAACACATCTTCTAGCAGATGTGCTAAAAGAAAATGTAGAAAAGTACTAAAAGCAATTAAATATATATATATATATAATTTTCTTTTCTTTTTTTTTTTTGGCGGCCAACCCACATGGGGATCCAAACCCTTGACCTTGGTATTACAATACCACTCTCTAACCAACTCAGCTAACCGGCCAGCCTCTAACAGCAATTATAATCAAGTTGACTATCTTAAAAAGTATTTTAAGGCTAGAAATATACAGAAAAATCAAAGCTATAGGTCCTGGCTCAAAAAGAATGTCAACACTAGAACCAGATTGTATTTTCTTTCTTTTTTTTTTTTTTTAAAAAAGATGACCGGTAAGGGGATCTTAACCCTTGACTTGGTGTTGTCAGCACCACGCTCAGCCAGTGAGCGAACCGGCCATCCCTATATGGGATCCGAACCCGGGGCCTTGGTGTTATCAGCACCACACTCTCCCGAGTGAGCCACAGGCCGGCCCTCAGATTGTATTTTCTGAACACCATTTTCCCACTAAAAAAAATCAGGCCTCCTTGGAAAAATAGCTGATTGCCTTTCCTACAGGAACCAAATAGTGAGGAAATAATTCTTTTTTTTTTTTTTCCCTTTTTGTCTTTTTTTTTCGTGACTGGCAACGGATAGCAACCCTCAGTGTCGCGCCCGTACCGGACCAGGACCGGCAACGGGATCGCAACCCTCGGTGTTGCTCCCGCATCTCGCTCAGCCAGTGAGCGGCCAGTCTGTATGTGGGATCCGAACCCTCGGCGGGAGCGCCGCCACGCTTCCCAAGCGGCGCACTGTAGCAGTGCGCCACCGGGTCGGCCGGAAATAATTCTTTTTATAAAAATATTTAGACAATAAATGAAGAAGGAATGACAGAATTAGATTGTTACTACACTACAATACTGAATTAATAGATCCAGATAATGATCATTAATCGCTGCCTACACATAACCACCAGACATTATCTATCTCCTGAAGAAAGTACAACTATACAGTAAACTTGGAAAAAAAACAACAAACAAAAAAATCTTAATATGATAAGCCTCTAATCTACCAATTTACAAAAAATACAAGGGACAGAAGAATATGTTTGGGTATGCTAATTAGCAAAATCTGGACTATGGTAAACTCTACAGGAAAAACTTGTTTTCTTCATTAAAAAAAAGGGAAAAAAAAAAAGGAGAGAGATTGATTGAGATTGAGAAAAATGGAAGGGAACCTTATAGATAAAAAGACAATTTAGAGCAATTTCAACCAACTGCAATGTTTGAACCTCATTTGAGTCCTAATTTAACAAACTGAAAAAAAAAAATACATGACAATCAGAAAAATATAAATACAAACTGACAATTAATCATTTTAAGGTATAATTATGGTATCTGGATATGTTTTTAAGATAAGAGTCCTCATCTTTTTAGGAATACATATTGAAATACAGATAAACTGATGATGCCTAGGACACTTCAAAATAACAGCAGTGGGGAGATAGAGACTTAAGTAGAGATAAAACAAGAGTTGATAATTTTTAAAGTTGGGTGATGAATACAAAGGGGCTCATTAAGCTATTCTCTATTTTTTGTTTTTCGGGGGGTGGTTAGCCAGTATGGGGATCTGAAAAACTACTCTCTATTTTTGTATATGTTTAAAATTTTCTATAATACTAAGTTTTAAAAAAAAAGTTTCCTGGGCCAGCCCGTGGCTCACTCGGTAGAGTGCGGTGCTGATAACACCAAGGCCGCGGGTTCGGATCCCATATAGGGATGGCAGGTTTGCTCACTGGCTGAGCATGGTGCTGACAACACCAAGCCAAGGGTTGAGATCCCCTTACCGGTCATCTTTTAAAAAAAAAAAAAAAAAAAAAAAGTTTCCTCATGAACATTCATAGCCATAAAGTGAAGCACAGGACCATGTTTCCAGAGATTTGCCAGGACTAAAGGTGCCAGTGAATATTAGGCTTATGCATTGTGAGCACATATTGGATGCAGCTGCTCATGCTATATGCAATGGATGGATTAATTTGCTGCCCCTTGAGCTTAGGACCATGTGCACAAGACACCCTTCTCTCCTGACTTATCTATTTTGATTAAGTGTCCAACTTATACATAATCAGCACCTTTTTTGATGGTTTTGTTCCCAGATGTACTTCCCTATCATTGTCCCTCCTGACCTCTCCAAGGCCTGGAAGGAAAGGGGAACATTCATAGATTCATACCCTCATATCCTTAAGGATCTCCCTCTTCCATCTTGCCAGCACTCTTTCTGCGCCTACCTTTCCCCTCTGTTCTCTGCTTGCTCTTGGTCCCTGGTACCCTTTCTGCTTTGACTTAGTTTAGTAAAAAAGTACAATATATTTTAACCAAGGCAACTATTTTGCCAAGAAATTGCACTTACTTTGGCTGGGAGATTGCTCTGTCGGGGTTTGTGTACCAAGATGTGGACCTCAAGGAGTATAAAGAACTCCCTTATTGTTATTTTCCCATCTTTGAGTTTCTGAGAAAAGAAAAAAAAGTTTGCATGACCATTCAAGGTGAACTTACTTTGACTATAACCATTTGCTTCTAAATAGCTTAAAGTACTTTGCATATATTTATGGATATTTGCATACTATACATGAGCATATTTTATCTAAGATTATTTCTTTTTTTTTTTTCCTTTTTGTCTTTTTTTCGTGTCCGGCAACGGATCGCAACCCTCAGTGTCGCGCCCGTACCGGACTGGGACCGGCAACGGGATTGTAACCCTCAGTGTAGCACTTGCACCTCGCTCAGCCAGTGAGCAGGAACCGGTCTGTATGTGGGATCTGAACCCTCGGAGGGAGCGCCGCCGCGCTCCCAAGCGGCGCACTGTAGCAGTGCGCCACCGGGCCGGCCCTCTAAGATTATTTCTTAAGGTTATTCAATAACAATAGAGTTTAAAAAAATCCAAACATATGTCTTTTAAAGTGATTTCTACTCCATATAATTAATTGCTATGTTGGGTCCTTAACACAGAAAACTAGTCTTCTGTATACAGTATTTGAAATATTTTGTAATTTTTTAAAAAAATTAAAATACAAAAGTAGGAAATTAATTGTATTAGAAAGAAGAATTACTTTTAACATACCTCCCTTAAGCTCTCTTCACAAATAGTGTCTGTAAGAAACTGTGATTCCACTGGACTGCTGCGGTGTGCTAGAAGTACAGCAGATTCATGTGATGAACATGTAAAAACTAAATTGTAAATTTAATTTTAGTTATCTTTCAGATTTATGTGTGGTTCATTATCCTGAAGCCATCCACTGGTATCTTTCTAGGAAAGACAGTCATTTAGCAGGACAAGGCATATTACAGTTTTTTTGTTTTTGGCAGCTGGCCGGTCCAGGGATCTGAATCCTTGCCTTTGGTGTTATAACACCACACTCTAACCAACTGAGCTAACCAGCTAGCCCCTGCATATAACAGTTTTAAGGCTCTGATGTTTTTCCACTAATTATAAGCCTCTGAAGGAAACTGCTCTCTTCCTTTGTACTATATCACTTCTCAATTCATTAAAATAACTAAGAATTAAAAATAAGCTAAATATTATTTGACAGTATTGTAAAATATTTTGTAAATTATAAACTCTTTATAAACTCAAAAGGCTTATACAACATTCAAATATTTTCAGAACTGAAATACATTTATCATTAGTTAAGTAAGCAATAAGGATATTATTTAGCCTTCATGAAGATCTTACTGCTGAAGTCTGGAGAGGTCCTATCAGCCTTGATTGAATCCAGAGAGCTGCTGCAACTAGATGGGGTCCGGCTCAGGCTTCTTATCAATATACCATTTGAGTTTTTATCTATATCTCTTTCAGTGTGGTGATCAAAAACCTGAAATTACCAATTAAGGAACATTATCACAATAAAGTTATGATACTGTATACTTATAATGACTAAATATTTGTTGAACATTAACAGAAATATTACTTCTAACATAAAATTTTTCTATAGTTCATATGAAATACCTTAGTAAAGGATCAGAATAAGTAACAGGCAACTTAGGCCTTTAATTAGAGTTTAAAGTAATTTTATTAAAACATTTATATAAATAACTTTGTACAATTATAAAGTATAAGAAAATTGTTTCTTAGATGTATCTAAGTTATAGATAGATCCTATAAGCTACCAAATGTTGTCCTATCCAATTATCCAAGTGCTAGCCACTAACGTTAGGGCTACTACACTGCAGAAAACCAGACTATTGACTATACATGGTGGCCCTGGCTAGAGTGCAGAGAAGAAATTTATTTCCAGGCTATAGTACTTTCTTTCCCCACTGACCAAGACTCCTTTGGCTGAAATCAAATAAGTAATGTGGTCCTCCTTTATTTATTATAATCATTTGACTTCACAGCTCTAAATGCCATCTTTATTTATCTACTTACATGTTTTTTGAAAACAATATATTCTTTGTCTAAATGCTAGAATGTAAGTTCAATGAGAGCAGATTTTTGTCTGTGCATTCCCCCTGATGCATTGCCAGAACCTAAAACAGTACCTAAAACAGCAGATATTCAATAAATATTTATTGAACAAAACAGAATACTAATTTTCATAGAATCTATTCATTAGACTTAAACTTTATATTAGTATTACTACTTTCTCAAAACTTCATGACTAACCATTCTCTCATGATGTCATCTTATAGAGCTGAAATCATCTTCTATGCTTATTTATGTATTTAACAAGTTTAAGCTTTCTGTGAACCTCTGATACCTTCTAATCTTTATTTCCCCAGGTGTAAAACTTGATTTGAATGACAGGTTTTGTTCTCCCCAGGTTATCCAAATCAGTGTTTTTTGACTTAAAATGTCTACTTTCAATAAATACAAAATATCACTTCATTTAGAGATATTGGGCTTGACCCAGGCATTCTCCCACCCACTAAAGAAATGGACTGTCAGCTTCTACATATCCTTATTAACCAAGAAAATTCAGTCAAGCTTTTCTTGTGCAGAACAGAAAGACTTTGTACTCCCCAAATTTTTATAACACAGAAGATGACTTTTCAAACTATATATACCCTTCCTAGAAATTCTCATATACAAAGCAACATTGACAAATCACCAGAGGTGACAGAATGTTTAGAATTACACAATTCCAAAATTGGTTAATTTTTGTACTACTTTCCATTTCATTTTTTGTGACATATTTGACACTTTAAGTTGTTCTAAAATCTAGTTGTTAGTCAATTAATTCCTGAAAGTTCTACATAGGAATATTTCTCAAGCCCTATTACTGGAAATAATCAATTTCTGATTACCCAAGACTAAAATTAAAATTAAAGAACACCCACAATTAAAAAACCCCCCAAACTCAAGAACATTCCTTGGTTTAAGACAGAGCTCACCTCATGATCTTGTGCAGTACCACTAAGCTTAATCTCCTTTTTTCTGATTTTTTTCTCATTCTGAATATCATCATCTTCTTCTTGTATCCAGGTTCTTTTCTGGCTATTGCAAGTTTCTTCCATTTTATTTTCAGATGCTGAAATTGCTTTTTGGTATGTCTCAGTTAAAGCCTTTCCCTCGGTTTCTACGCTAATAGAGTCTGAAGAATTAATCTCATCAGGAAATATAGGGAGATTCTCCTCATTTATATATTGAGATGGACTTAAGTTCAGTTTAGCTACAACAGATCCAATGCCTGAATCCTTGCTGGAGACTGGCTGAGTTTCTAAGTGATTTAAATTACTTCCAGCTGTGTCTGCTGGAATCTGCTCCAGGTCATCAATACCAGTGACACTACAATTTCTCTTGTTCGGCAATCTGGGCAAAAAGATTCCCAAAGAGTATCGCCTCACTTTATCTTTAACAACTGCATTTAACGGTACAGAGGTGGTTTCAACTCCATTATGAGAATTTTTATTTTTTTCACCTTTATTATCTTTAGCATTGCTAGAGACAAGGTTAATATTAGGTATTTCTGTTGCTTGCACTATACTTATATCATTGTGTGCCTTATTTCCTAATTCAAGTAATTGTTCTGGAGGAGCTGGTATATGACCAGTTCGAAAATCTAAAAACTCTTCAGTTTTTCCATTCAAATTATTCGGATTTGGTTTGACACTACTAAAACATGGAGCATTGGATGCAATTATAGGATCTGAGGCTTCTCTAGCATTGGCATGGGTTTGAATAACTTGCTTAGTTGAGTTTGAGTTACTGTGGCCATCTATACCTGTTTTACATTTCACTGTTTGAATATCTTCCTTCAGTTCTTTTTTACAGGCTATAGCAAACTGTTTCTCATTATTGAGCATTTTGGACTTGTTTTCACATGTGGGTACAGAGGAATTTCCTACAATATCTAAACTCTTATTTCCAGTTTTAGACAGTATTGCTTCATCTTTATTGACAATCCTCTGTCCTTTTTGAGCTAATGGAGATTGCTGGGTAGAGAGATGAGGCTCAAAAGCAATACAAACATTATCAACAAAGGCCTCCATTTGATCCTTTGGAAGCTTAAAAGATACTTGCTTTGAATTAAGGTCAGTCATCTCCCCCAGATCTTCACTGTATACTACAGTTTCACTAGCTAATAAATTTTGGGGCTCCTTAAACAGATCCTGATCTTTGAGCAATGTTTTAACACAATCTAACTGTCCTGTAGTATTGGCTTGATTAACTTCTTCCTTCTGTAACAAAGGACAAGGAGCAGAGAGAGGCAGTCCCTCAGATTCCAAGTAATATTTACTAGCTAAATCGTCTGCATAAGCAATATCACTTTGCACTGCACGATTATTGGCTTTCTCCTTATCTTTATCACGTAAGGACAAGACATTATCCTTCAAATCATCTAAACAGGAAATCATATTTGGTAAGCTGGAATAATCATCACTGGATCCACAAATAGCAGTTGCATGACTGCTTATAAAATCCACATTTCTTCCATCAGTAGTGCATAAGTGACTACTGTCAATTTTGGCGTTTTCCAGTGTATAGGCCTGGTCTACAACTTTCCCCATGACCTCTTCATCTGTAGCAGCACTATGGAATTTGATGATTTCCATTTCATCTTGATCCCCAGACAATGTATTAGTAGAAACAAAGGGTATCATATGATGCTTTTGCTCAGTATGAAGAACAATTTTGTTCTCTACAGCCAGTGCTTGTTTTTTAGAGATTTCTTGAACACAGCTATCATCCTTAGTAAAAGATACACCCAAGTTTCTTTCTTTTGCTGTTCCAAATGTAGGGTATTCTTTAAATATTTTCTCTGTGGCTTGACGATCAATGAAAACAGTATGGGACTTGGTGACTTCCAGATCATTGTGACTATCTACAAACATTACAGTTTTGTCCATAGGCCTAGCAGTTATTTCATCTGGTGAGATGGTTCTACAGTCTAAGGCAGTTGTGTGACTTCTAGTGATCTCCATGTCATCCTGCCCACATGAATATAACACAGTTTTAGAAGTTCCTGCAAAAGGTAGCAAATGGAAATCCTCTCTATCTTCCAGGGAGCTTTTGTTATTTATTTCTACCATACAACTCTGTGTGATTTCCATATCATTTTTATCATTCTCTGAAAATACAATGGTCTTGTCATTTTTGAGGCTAAGGCTTTTTCTTTTCTGACTTTTGCCTGATAGAGGTTTATTCAGAAACCCAGACTTCTGTACATCTTTGACATCTATCCAAGTGGTTGATTTAGACATTTCCATGTCATCATCAGGTATAGATGCTACACCTTTCTCTATAGGACCAATATTAGGCCATTCCTTCAGTAGTGTTAGCTGGCTGCCTTTTGCTGCAGGATGGTCACATTCATCATTTTCTGGAAAGAAAACATTTTCCTCAGTAGATGTTGCTTTTGGATTTCGTAGGCTTTTCCTTTTGGATAGTTCAAAATTAGGTGTGTCTGGAAGCACAGTTCTTTCCTTTTCTTGGTAATCAACGAAAACAGTGTGGGACTTTGTCATTTCTAGTTCTTCAGGATTATCTACAAATATTACAGTTTTGTCCATAGGCCTAGTAGTTATTTCATATGGTGAGACAGTTTTACATTTTAAGGCAGTTGTATGACATCTAGTGATCTCCATATCATCCTGCCCACATGTATACAAAACAGTTTTAGAAGTTCCTGCAGAAGGCACCAAATAAGAATCATGTTTGTCTAATAAAGGTCTATGGTTTATTTCCACTGTATAACTCTTGGTGATATCCATATCATTTTTATCATCCTCTGAAAATACAGTAGTCTTATCAACTTTTAGTTCATCAACACTTTTCCTTCCACAAATTTTGACATTTTGCTTTTCCTTCAGAAATCCAGATTTCTGTACATTTTCATCCTCTAATACATCCATGATAAATACTCCAGTTTTTTCTATAGGACTTTTATCACAGTTTTCAATTTTTACTGCTATCTGTCTTTTTACTGTTGTTAGCTGGCTGGAAGTGTGTTCTGAATTAGTTCTACCAAGTTCTTGTACTTCAGAAGGACCAAATCCAATGACAACAGTGTGGCTCTTGGTTAGATCCATATTTTGCTCCTCCTCTGAACAAATAATCATCTTGTCATAAGAACAGTCAGGTATGGGATCACCTAAACTTTTCCTCAGTGGCTCAGGCAGTTTAGAATTCTGGCCTAGTACAGATTTCACTGTATGACTGTTAATAGCAGCACTGTGATTTTTCATGGCAGATTGTCCTTCTGATGAAAATAATGGCTTTGTGATAGAAAACAAAGATTGTTCATATGAAAATGTATTTCTGTTATTTCCCAGTGCTTCTTGTTTATCAAGAACTCTACCAGAATAGACTATATTATGGCTTATGTCCTGATTACTGTTAGCTGACTGAGGATAATCTTTATCAAGACAGAGTGAAATTGTCAAAACTTGATCTTTTTCTTTGCCCCGGGTGTCAGTTAGGATGCTTTTAGAAATTATGTCTTGTCGTGGGGATGGTTCAATATGACTTTTGGTCATTTTTTCCCATTCACCTGAAGGGCTTTTGCTGTGAGACTGACATTTACTGGTATTCTCAGGTGCTGGGTTATAAGATGCAAGAGGAGCTTGACTTCCTAAGTTACTTGTGTGACTTTCAGTCAAATCTATATCTTCACCTGCTAAGAGTTCAGTCTTTTTGTTAGTCAATGAAATAGATAAAGGATTTGCCAGGCTTTGCTGTAATCTTTCCTTATGTACATAAGGAACTGAGCTACAGGTTACTTGTGTGACTTTCAGTCAAATCTATATCTTCACCTGCTAAGAGTTCAGTCTTTTTGTCAGTCAATGAAATAGATAAAGGATTTGCCAGGCTTTGCTGTAATCTTTCCTTATGTACATAAGGAACTGAGCTACAATTTACATTCACTTTCCCATCTTCTGACACAGTTATGAGATTTTGGAGCATAATTTCTTTTTCAGATATTGGTACAGCTGCTATCTCTACATTTGTCTGATCTTGTTTAAAATTCTGGTTATCTATTGCAATCGTGTGACTCTTGGTAATGTCCATGCTATCCTCTCCTGAATAAATAGTTTCCTCTATGACATGAGAGACATTTCTTTTTCAGATATTGGTACAGCTGCTATCTCTACATTTGTCTGATCTTGTTTAAAATTTTGGTTATCTATTGCAATCGTGTGACTCTTGGTAATGTCCATGCTATCCTCTCCTGAATAAATAGTTTCCTCTATGACATGAGAGATGGCATCGGGATTGGGATACATTTTAGAATAATTACTGTCATCCTTTAGCAAATTTTTCTCCTCTTTCATATTTGAAAGACACTTGGTCAATTCCATTGCATCATTACAACTAGAATAGAAAACTGTCTTATAACCTTGAACAGCTGGACTAGAACACTTAGATACTGGCGTCATGGCCAGTGTTCTAGGATCTTGATTAGAAGTCTGCACAACTGTGTGAGTTTCTGCTTCCATAATATGACTCCTGGTAATATGTATTTTATCTTCGGGGTTTAAGGAAGGGTCTTGAAAAGCAGTATTTGGTTTATTCTTAAAGATTGTTTTCTTCCCTGGAGGTTTAGTTCCATAGCCTGTTGTAACATCCATCGTAACATTCTGAGTTTGATTTTCTATTTCAGATAAATTATCTGCTGAGGGTAAAACCTGTATAGTGTGGTTAATTGTCAAGTCCATAAAGTTGCTGCCATATATTGTATTATTACCACCTTTAAATTCCCATAAGTTGGCCTCACTGGATGTTGGAACCAAAGTCTGAATATTGGCTGTATGACACTGGGTGAAATTCATCCCTTCTTCTTGTTCTCTAAATAGTCTAGTCATATTACTGTTATTCTCATCTACATTAAGAGATACATGCATCTGATGTGTAGAAGAGGCACTATTTGATTCTTTGGAATGTACAGGTATCTCAGAATTTTCTTTATCAGGCCCTGTAGAAGGAGAAGCATTATATTTTCCTGTTTTCAATCTTTTTATGAAATCATTGAAATTTATTTTCTTTTCTGAAGAAGTGTTTTGATCCACAGAAAAATTAAATTCTTTTTTCATTCTTGAATCCCCAGTGTGGAGCTTTAAGTTAGCCAGAAATGATGTGGTATCTATCTTGGTGGACTTTTCACTTTTGGTACCATCTAAAAGGCCTTTGGTAATCATCACGGTATGACTTGCTGTTAGGTCCATCTGGTTTTCATCAGAAAAGATGACTGTCTGGTCATTCACATGTTTCCTTTCATGGTTGTATTCTATAATGGAAAACTATAGTGAAAGCAAAATATAAGAGATCAGACCAAATGCAAACTTTTAAAAAGGTATTTTATAACATGTACTAAACAAACAATCCTCAGTGATGGTTTCATGACACTTTGGTTTGTTTGAGTCAATGGTGTGGTAAATTGCATGATTTGTTACTGAACTTTTTTCTCAAGTATGTGAATAATTTACTTTTCAGAATTTTGGGACAAATTAAAAAGTCAAGGTTAACTACACACCCATTAGAATGACTGAAAAATGAAAAAGACTGACAACACCAAATGTGACCATATGAAAATTTGAATTACTACATTGGATAGAAGGTCATTCTTATCCTAACAACAACAACAAAAATGGAAAGGTGTTTAAGTGCGTGATGGCTAATTTATATTACACTTTGTTCTGGTGGTTTTATTTGCAAGGACATGGTTTAACTCCTTGCCACTCAAAGTCTGGTCTGTGGACCTGTGCACTAGTATTACTCAGGAGACTGTTAGAAATATCGACTTTCATGGTCTACCCCATTTCTACTGGATAAGAATCTATATTTTAACAAAATCTTGAGATAATTCATATGCTCTTTAAAGTTTGAGAAGCCCTAGTATATTTCCCTATCATAAACTGGCAAATTTAACAATTCTTAGTCAACCAGAAAGGTAGAAAGTTTTTCCAGTCAATGCTGAATCATTTAGTTAAGTCATCCCTCAATTATGCCGTTACCATTAAATTGTTTAGTGTTTTTTATGTTTTAACTGCGAAGACAGATTAAAATGTAAAGGCACTTGCATGAATACCTCTTTCTGTTGCATCTGGGTCTGAATGGGAGCACAAAGCAATGTGTTCATCCCTATTGTGAAAAAAAGAAAAAAATATAGTAAAAAAAAATATCACCAAGAGCCTGATTTTCCTTTTCTTAGGTTCTTCATCAGTTACAAGTATTTACAAGTTACCAAGCCCTTCATAAGGACTTGGGTATTAAATTACATTAAGACTTTTTTTTTGGGGGGGGGGTATGGGAGGGTGTGGCTGGGTGGTTAGGGATCCAAACCCTTGACCTTGGTATTATCAATACCACTGCTCTAATCAATTGAGCAAACTGGCCAGCCCTCAATAAGACTTTTTATTGTCCAATTTTAGTGACAGAGAGATCAGAGATTACTGAATCCTCTACATGACTGAAATAATTTTAGAATGTGGTGGTGTTTTAAAGGTGGAAACTAGACTACTTATTATTATTTTTACTTTTCTATTTTTATTTCCTGGATAGTAGAGGTTACATGAAGAGTACCAAGTAATGAGACTGAAACGTGAAGGTGAGATTCTGAAGGGTCTTTTATTCTATGTTAAGGAATCTAGATATTTCCATGAGAAATATGCATTTTATTTTATTTTTTCTGGTGGCTGACATGGGGATCCAAACCCTTGACCTGGGTGTTACAACACCGCACTCTAATCAACTGAGCTAACCAGCCATCACTTCATTTTATAAAAATAATTTCATTATAAAATTAAATGCATTTTAGAAAAATAATTAAAATAATGAGAAGAAAGTAGATTCTAGAGAAGATGAACGAATGAGGAAGATATTGCAATAGTTCAGATATAACAGGATAAGAGTTTAAGTTAGGGCAGAGACAATGAAAATGGAAATAGACCCAAGACATTTTGGAACTGAAATATAAAGATTTAGGTAACAAAATGGACTTTGGAAATAAGGAATGAATTGAAGATGCTATACTAAAACAGGAAAAACATTTAAAAATACTTAAATTTAAAAGCAAATCTTTAGAACATTAAAAAAAATTTTGGCAAACTCGAGTGCATATGATAAAGTAATCATAGGCTTTTTATTAAAAGGCTTATTTATATATCAGGCTTCCATTCATTTGTTCAACAAGTATTGTTCAGAACCTATTATGAGTAAAAAAAAAAAACGGTTTACTAAGGCACAAAGAAGAACAAGGTAAAATTTCTGAACTCAAAAAGTTCATAATTTCATAAGAAAGCCAGAAGTGAATACCTAAAATACAATGTAATAAATTCTAAATAGACTGAGAAAAGGGGTGTTGTGTGACCACAGAACACAGTGGCTAACTCTTTGGTTTTGTCAGAGAAGGCTCTATTTAAGCCAGTGCTACTTGAAGTATGGTGCCAGTCTGAATTGCTTATGACCAATTTATGATGACATGGAGCTTGCAGGAAATGTAAATCCTGTAATAATTCCCTCATCAAGAAAGACTTGCTAAGGAAAAATGTCAGCTGAACTAAACAGCTTAGTACCATAGTTAATTTACATTATGGTACAAGTTCCTTTTCTTGCATGGACTGAATAGTTTGTGAACTGGCTACTTTGAATAGCACTGAAGTTAAGCTAAGTGAAGTGAAAAATGAGACTGACAGGCATATTGGAGTAGGAAGAGCAGTTTAGGTAAACAAAATAGCATTTATAAATGCATACCGGCAGAAAAACAGTTGATATGGGGAAGGGCTAATAATTCATTATGGCATAGAGCATAGGATATCTATAAAGAGCAGATGTTAAGGTTGAAGAAGACAGGCCAAATTGTAGGACTTTCTAAGTCAGTGCTAAAGAGTGTGGGCTTTACCCTATAAGCAAAAATGTGTCAGTGAACCAATTTAAGCTGAGAGGCAATATAATCAGATTTAGAAATATGGGGAATGGATCGGGAAAGATAAGAAACTAAGTACAATAACCCAAGAATGAATAATGAAGACTAGAATTAAAGCTGTGGCAGAAGGAATAAAGAATAGGTAACAGATTTGCAAGATATTTCGGAGAAAGAATAGACAGAAATTAGGGCCAAATGAATATGGGGAATAAAGGAAGAGTCAAGTGAGCAGTAGTCCAAGATAGAGAAAACAGGAGGAACAGCAGGTTTGAAAGAAATAGTGAGTTTGTGAAATTTTAAATTGAAGACTTTTTGTAATGAACAAAGCTCTCTGTACATTTTTTTTCATGATTCTTGTACATATAACTTACCAAGGAATCTGGATGAAGAGAAGGATATATGATAAGAAAAGTATTCTGGTCATACTCACCAGAAATCTCATGGTAATTATCTTCAGAATTCTTATTCCTAAAAATTAAAAAGTATTTTTATAATCTATACCCCCCCAAAATACCAAAATTTCACAACAGTTGAAAGAATAGGGAAGGTGAAACATTTTCTTTTCTTTTTTTTTTTTTTTTTCCTTTTTGTCTTTTTTCGTGTCCAGCAACGGATCGCAACCCTCAGTGTCGCTCCCGGACCGGGACCGGCAGCGGGATCGCAAACCTCGGTGCTGCACCCGCACCTCGCTCAGCCAGTGAGTGGGAACCGATCGGTATGTGGGATCCGAACCCACGGCGGGAGCGCCACCATGCTCCCAAGCGGCGCACTGTAGCAGTGCGCCACCGGGCCGGCCCGAAGGTGAAACATTTTCATGGGGTGAAAATTACAAAGACATCTTTTTAAAAAAGACTCATCTACTGTACTGGCCAGCTGCCAAAAACAACAAAAGACTCATCTAATGCTGGCTGAAAAAAATTACAAAGCAATTAAAGGACGTTTTTCAGATTGTTCTTAATGGTCTGTTAATTTCACGAATGCTATAAAAAATATGCTTAATACAAATACAGATATCCGCCAGTCAAGATGGAGGAATAGATGGTTCCCAGCGTCATTCTCTCCCATAAATCAACCAATTTACAACTATAAAAATGTAACATCAGCCAAGCTGGGGTCGCTGGAGCTCAGAGGTATAGGAAGAGAGACCTACGGAGTTCATGAAGGCGGGATAAACCATGATGAGAGAAAGAAAAAACTGCTCTGAGTGTTTCGGGCCGTAGCCACTTTAAGGCTGGAGCTGATGAGCACATGGAGCAGGAGGCAGCAGAAGCTGCAGCTGTGCCCTTCAGATGGAGTTACTTGGAGACGGCAGGGGAGAAGAGGGCCTTGGCAGCCCCCAGGACAGCAAGACCACTAATAGAGTTCCTGTGGACCCATGTAAGAGCGAGGAGCCAGAACAACTGAAAAAAGGGAGCCATTCAGAGGCTGGCAAGTCATCACAAGGGACTGGCGCAGGGCCTGTCCCATGGGAAGTGTTTGGAGCACGGGCAATGGGGGAGACAGGCCCACTGGGAGAACACTGGGATACAGCAAAGACAGCCAACCCGCCCACCAGTCAGCGCAGGACCACTCAGAGGAGACTGGTCAGGAATGCAGAATTGCATGGGGTGCAGTTTGATGAAAAAACTCAGGCCCAGATCAGAGTTTCTACACAACCCAGGTGTACCGAATATCTGGAGAGCCGGAAGTACCTATAAGGTCAACCATTAAACCCTGAGCTGCACAAAAAGCCTTCCCTAGGAAAACAGCAGCAAAGCAGCAATTTAGGTCAACCACACAGCTCAGGTACTGACTCTCACAGGAAGTTCCCCTGTTTTAGAATAAGCAAAGGACAAAAAATTAGTTCCAGCCCAGGCATACCACCAACGCATTAGACCCTGCCTGGGAACCCGAGGCTTGGAGCCAGGGACCAGACCCCCTTCCCACAACCAGGCACACTGTGCCAGTACATCAGGGCCCACCCAGTGACCTAAGGCATGGAGCCGGTGACTGGACCCCCCTCCCACAACCAGGCACACCATGCCCGCACCTTGGGGCCTGCCCAGAGAACCGAGGCATGGAGAATGGGACTGGAACCCCCTCTCACAACCAGACACACCGTGCCAGTTACCTCAGGGCCCACTTGGTGACCCGAGGCATGGAGCCAGGAAGTGGACCCCTCCTACAACCAGGCACACTGTGCCAGTGCCTCGGGACCTGCCCAGGGACCCAAGGCATGGAGCTGGGAGACCAGACACTCCCCACAACCAGGCACACTGCCAGTGCCAAGGAGCATGTCAAAAACATCATCTCCATGTGGGCGGCCCACCATAGCCACCACAATAACCATGGCTGCTGTGAAAGTGACTAGATGCCACAACCACTATGCAAATGGTTCTCCAGCCACTGGAGTGCATTGACACAAGGAGAGTCACCAGCAGAGACCAAAGAAAAGAAGAGGATGTCTCTTGCCACAAAGCTCATTCCAGAGTGACAGAAGAAGCATCTGCTCTACGATAATATTGGGGGACCAGAACACACCTCTTAGCACTGGACAGATCATCTAGGCAACAAATCAACAGAGTAACCGTTACTCTTTCAGAAGGAGAGAAGAAATCTAGGGTAATTAGAGGGAGAGGGAGGAAAGAAGGGGGGATGGGAAGAGATTGGACAAGGTGCATAAAGAATAAGTACGATTTGTAACAATATATATGCTAGTAATATTGATTTGATCAACATACATCAATGTTGAACCCCCAAAATATGTATAATCAATTGTGATTCAATAAAAATTAAAATAATAATAATAAAAAAATTAAAAAACCCAAAAGATAAAGATAAACATGCACTTGGACATGTACAGAAAATTTCTGCAAGAACACCCAAAATTATCAACAGTGGTTATTTGTGAGAAATTGGTCACCAGGCGAAGAGGGAGTAATTTTTCCTTTTCAATTTATGCTTTTTACTTTTTTTTTTTTTTTTTAAAACATGACCAGTAAGGGGATCTTAACCCTTGACTTGGTGTTGTCAGCACCATGCTCACCCAGTGAGCTAACTGGCCATCCCTATATGGGATCCAAACCTGTGGCCTTGGTGTTATTAGCACCACACTCTCCTGAGTGAGCCATGGGCTGGCCCCTCTTTTTTACCTTTTTGAAACCATATATACTATTACTTCCACTTCTTTATTTCAACAATTTTAATTTAAAAATTTAATAGGTAATACCTTCACATGGTTCAAAACTAATAAACCACAAAATCAACATGTATCCTCTAACAAGGTTCTCTTCTCTGCAGGCAATCTCACTAGTTTCTTCCATATATATATATATATTTATTTATTTATATTTATATTATTATTATTATTATTTTTTGGCAGCTGGCTAGTAAGGGAATCTGAACCCTTAACCCTTGTGTTATCAACCCCATACTCTAATCAAGTGAGCTAATCAGCCAGCCCTCTTCCAGAGATATTTTATGCATATAAGTCAATACATATATCCATGTGCATTATATATATGAACACACGTATGAGTAAATATATATATACACATACACACATGCTTTTTTTCTTCTCCCTTTTACACATGTGGTAATATACTATGTACTTTGATTTGCATCTTACTTTTTATCCTAAGTAATAGTGTTTAGAGATTTTTCTATTTTGTATATAAAGATAATTTTTCCCCTGGCTGCACAGTAGTCAAATATATGGAAAATGTATAACTTATCCATTCTTTTGGTAATGAAACTTTAGGACATGAATTGCAGAGTCAAAGGACATGTGCACTTAAAATTTTGAATAATATTGCCAAATTGCCTTCTATAATTTATACTCCCACTAGCAATGAGTGACTTTTTAATTATATCCTTAACTGAATAGATAAAAAATATATCTCAATATAGCCTAAATTTGTATTTCTCTTATGATAAATAAAGGTAAGCATCTTTTCATTTGTTCAAGAGCTACTGGTATTTACTTTTCTATATATTAACACTAAGACTAATTTAATGAAAAAAATCTGAAGATTTGTTTGCTATTTATTGTTTTGTACTAGCTGATGAACCTAAGGATTTATATACAAAAGTAAAGTGTTTCACTTCTAGAAGCTGTACAATGTCCATATTTATTAGATATAGCAGTATACTAAATTCTGATAAGTATTCCACAAAAGGGACACAAAAATAAAAAACAAAAAGAATATTAATTTTGTAAAAACTTTGTTTAATAGAAATAAACAGCTTTTTAAAATATAATTTGAACATTTCTCTTACTTACTGTGTAAACAGAACATTTTCTCCTGCTTCTGTTTCTAAAAATAAAATAAAGATTAAATTTGTTCAAGGTACACTGGTAAAGCATTAGAAAAATTATGTAAGGACATTAACAATTAAAAATAAATAAATTACTAACTGTCCACCCTACTTTCCACCCCTATGACTCGAGATACACTTTTTAAGCAAGATAACACTCAAGATATACTTTTTAAGCAAGGAAATAGACAATAAATTATACCAATTATCTAATTAGATAGTCATAGTAAAAGTTTAAAGAAAACAGATTTAGCAGATATTGCAGTAACATAATTTACCTGCAATTTCTGACTTTCTCACTACTTTCATATGAGACTCTGTCTGGAATACCCTAGAAGAAAAAACAAAGATTTCTGAAAATCCTCATTTTTAATTAAAATCTTTTGGTATTAATCTATAGTCTGCTCTGAGACAGGTAAGGATAATACTTTGATTTCAGCTTCTTTGCTATACCACATTACTGTTAGTATTTCAAATGCCAAAATGCACTTAGCACACTAAAATTTGTTATGGCTTTTTTTTTTTTCCCGACCGGTAAGGGGAGCGCAACACTCGGCACTGTGGTGCTCACACCACGCTCAGCCAGTGAGTGCACCAGCCATCCCTATATATAGGATCCGAACCTGCAGCCTCCGTGCTACCAGCGCCGCACTCTCCCGAGTGAGCCACAGGGCTGGCCCTAAATCTGTTATAGTTTTTTTTTTGTTTGTTTGTTTGTTTTTTTGTCTTTTGTCTTTTTTCCGTGTCCGGCAACGGATCGCAACCCTCAGTGTTGCCCCCGTACCGGACCGGGGACCGGCAACGGGATTGCAAACCTCGGCGTTGCTCCCGCGCCTCGCTCAGCCAGTGAGCGGGAACCGGTCTGTATGTGGGATCCGAACCCTCGGGCGGGAGCGCCGACGCGCTTCCCAAGCGGCGCACTATCGCCACCGGGCCGGCCCGTAGTTTTTTAATGAACTCTTACCTAATCATTACTTTATCCCTCCCAATAACCTAAAATAATCATGTTATTCAACAGTTATTAAGCACTTACTATATACCTGGTACTATACGAGAGTCTGGGATACAAACACATGATCCTTGACTTCAAGGAGCTTCTAATGTATATAGAAAGCTGGAACAGTGATTATAAATATTTCACTGACTTATTAACAGTTCAGATAAGGTAGTGTGAACTCCAAAGGAAGGGATCCGTTTTCACTGGGATGATTAAGAATTAGATTCATGGAACATTTGGTATCTGTCTTGAAGAATCTGACCAGTTCATTCAATTCTGCTAATATTAAGTATCATTCATTCATTATATAGAAGATATTCTTAATTAGAAATAGAATTTTGGCATAGCTGTAGCTTTTCCCACTGTCCAGTAACCAAGGGCAAACTACGTGGGCTTTAAAAAAAAAAAAAAACCTAGCAGAGTGCCTTGCACACCGGATACATGTAGATGTTTTCTGCTCTTTTGTAATTGAAAAAAATTTTTTTTTTTTTTTGGGGGGGGGGGGGTGGGAAACCCACACCCCAATTTTGGGGTTTAAAAAAAAAAAAAAATTTATTTCAATTACAAAAGAGCAGAAAACATCTACATGTATACTGTGTGTCAGGCACTATGCTATGTTTTCTTTTTTCTTTTTTTTTTTTTTTGCAGCTGGCAGGTATGGGAATCCAAACCCCTAACTTTGGTGTTACAATACAGTGCTCTAACCTACTCAGCTAACTGGCCAGTCACTGTGCTATCTTCTTTACATGCACTTTTAATGTTTTTAACAATTACCATTTTATTTTGCAGATATAGATACTAAAGGTCATAAAGGTTAAGTAACCCCATGTAACTGATAAGTGGCAGACCTAAAATACCCCAAAATGTGAAAAACAAAATAGAAAACACTGTAATGTAATGATTAAGAAAACTTGGTGGCTGGCCAATTAACTCAGCTGGTTAGAGCACAGTGTCGTAACACCAAGGTCAAGAGTTTGGATTACCATACCCACCAGTTGCCAAGAAAAAAAAAAAAAAACTTCACGTGAAATAGTCCAAAGTCTGAGCTCTACCCCTTAATAGGTATGGGAACTTGAGCAAGTTACATAATCTAAGCCTCAGATTCTTCTCATCCATAAAATGAGATGTGATTGTTAGGATTCAATGAGATAATGCATACAGTAGTTAGCACAGTGCCTGTTATATTGTAAATATTGAATATTAGCAATTAATAATAATCAAATTTTGACTTATTTGAAGAAACTATGGGAGACAAGTATCTTCCTACGTTAAAATAATCATTTCAATATGGTTGTTGAGATGGCATAGTTTCTTAGAGAGATAATTCAAAAGAAAGGCACCTATTGTCAGGTTTTTAAAATGTGAAAGAGAAAAGAAGCTCTTAGAAATTGCTTTTAGCAAGGAGAGAGAATATTTTTTAAAATGCAAAAAATATGAATGACTTCTGATATGCCTCTTCTAACTTTATGGAAAATAAGGACTTGAATTTAAAAATAACAACAATATGGGCCGGCCCAGGCTCACTCGGGAGAGTGAGGTGCTGATAACACCAAGTCAAGGGATGGCTGGTTCGCTCACTGGCTGAGCATGGTGCTGACAACACCAAGTCAAGGGTTAAGATCCCCTTACCGGTCATCTTTTTTAAAAAAATAAAATAAATAAATAAAAATTAAAAATAAAAATTAAAAAATAAAATAACAACAATAATGGGCTGAGCCGGTGGCGCACTCAAGCGCCGTGGGTTCGGATCCTATATAGGGATGACCGGTGTGCTCACAGCGCTCACTGGCTGAGTGTGGTGCGGCCAGTCTCAAAAAGGA